ACCCTTCCCCAGTGGGTCCCAGTCCCTCCGCAGGGACTCCTTGTCCCTCCCCAGTATGTCTTAGTGCCCCCAGACCCTCTCCAACAGGTCCCAACCCCTCCCTAGCACCTCCCAGCCACTCCCCAGGGACTCCCAGTTCCTCCCCAGTATGTCCCAGTGCCCCCAGCCCCTCTCCAACGGGTCCCAGCCCCTCCCTAGCCCCTCCCAGCCCCTCCCCGGGGCCCCCCAGTCCCTCCCCAGTATGTCCCAGTGCCCCCAGCCCCTCTCCAACGGGTCCCAGCCCCTCCCTAGCCCCTCCCAGCCCCTCCCCGGGGCCCCCCAGTCCCTCCCCAGTATGTCCCAGTGCCCCCAGCCCCTCTCCAACGGGTCCCAGCCCCTCCCTAGCCCCTCCCAGCCCCTCCCCGGGGCCCCCCAGTCCCTCCCCAGTATGTCCCAGTGCCCCCAGCCCCTCTCCAACGGGTCCCAGCCCCTCCCTAGCCCCTCCCAGCCCCTCCCCGGGGCCCCCCAGTCCCTCCCCAGTATGTCCCAGTGCCCCCAGCCCCTCTCCAACGGGTCCCAGCCCCTCCCTAGCCCCTCCCAGCCCCTCCCCGGGGCCCCCCAGTCCCTCCCCAGTATGTCCCAGTGCCCCCAGCCCCTCTCCAACGGGTCCCAGCCCCTCCCTAGCCCCTCCCAGCCCCTCCCCGGGGCCCCCCAGTCCCTCCCCAGTATGTCCCAGTGCCCCCAGCCCCTCTCCAACGGGTCCCAGCCCCTCCCTAGCCCCTCCCAGCCCCTCCCCGGGGACCCCCAGTCCCTCCCCAGTATGTCCCAGTGTTCCCAGCTCCTCTCCAACAGGTCCCAGTCCCTCCCCAGTATGTCCCAGTACACCCAGCCCCTCTCCAACGGGTCCCAGCCCCTCCCCAGGGACTCCCAGTTCCTCCCCAGTATGTCCCAATGCCCCCAGCCCTTCTCTGATGGGTCCCAGGCACTCCCTGTCCCTCCCTAGTATGTCCCAGTACCCCCAGCCC